CAGCAGGTTCGGATTCCCAATTCAGTGGGGGGGATGACCACCCATGCAAAATCCGATGACCACACCACCCAATCAGCACATCATGCACGTGCTTCCAAGACTAGCAGTGCTTGCCGCGGATCTGATCAAGGCGATGGAATACTCAAAACACTTCGTTTTGCATCCTGCCAACTCAAACACATGCATTGGTGAGGCTCCCTGGCAAATCACTGAAGGCCTGCGTTGCAGCGTTGTGACTTCAATCCGAAACAACTCTCAACCCGAGCTTGAGATGGAAGCCGAATCCAAGAAACATCCTAATGCTACTAAGATACCCTTATAGAAAAAGCATTAAACCATACTTTAAGAACAGACTTTAAGGAACCTAAACGCGATGGCCTCCAACCTAAATGCTACTAAGATTAATGAACTAGAACGAGATATGATCTCCTGGGAATCTATAGGACAAACACGATTTGCTCATGCAAAAAGAACATGATACAACATGAGACCCCTTCAACCGGAATGTTCCTTGGTGAACAAATTCACATTGACGTGGAACAGCATGAACTTCTCAGATTGGAACTCTTCTGGAGCAAGAAAAGCATCGAGAAAAGGGCTTTGCCACAATGAGTCTAAAGTAGTGTTTCAATGAACCCGCAAGGCCTTACCAACCTTCTTCAGTGCGATCTTTCCAAAGAGAAAACTCTGTACCGACTCCGCTGCCATGATGCATACACAAAAGCTTAAACATAAGGATGAACAGAAAATAATACACTTCCAACACACAAACACCATATGAGCAAAAATACACAAACACACCAACAACCACGTTTTTCGCCTCTACGCCTCTGACTTCGGCTGCCTGGTGCCAGGCGCCGACCGGCGCGTTTCTTGGGCATCAAGTGCAGTTGGCTGCCCGAGCTCAGGTTGTAATACGCCAAGGTCCTGGAGCCGAAGGAATGGCGCATGGTTGCTTTTCAGACTCAGACATACTAAACGCAATGAATATTGTAGTCAATGACACATGACAAAAGAATCAAAAGTGACCAGAAGTCAAGTCCAGCGGAATAGGTGGCAACAACAAACATACGCAGTGTTGAGGTTAAACGGACATGCCATGAGCAAGAGAAGCTAAGCCTATCCCTGACAACCTAAGACCGTGAGACCTGCGCTAATGCCCTAGCTTTTCCACAAACCGAACTGAATAAATTTGAATGAAGATACCTCAGAGGCAACCTGAAGGATTAAGCGAAACGAGATGGAGAAACAGGTCGGGGCTGGGTGATCGTATCCAAAACGGCGGTGACCCAAGTGGAGCGCACGCTAGGTGCTTCATGTGTCACGGCCACGTGCTCCGCACCTCTCGTCGCGCAAGTAGCCAACGTTCGCCTGCAGATGCAAAGGGCTGACGAGCCTGGAAAAGAAGGAGAATTCTCTCAAACAATGCGTTCCATCTTGGTTAACCCGGTGCTGGCTCATCCACAATAATTTGACAATCCGAACCCAGAACTCAAGAGACATCACCTGTCCCCCTTGAAATCATCTGCGAAACGAATCCCAAACGCGGACACCAAGAAAACAAACATGAAGAGTGCCGAATCCCTCCACCTCTTCCGATCCACTGAAGTGACATCCCTCCACCTCGCTCCGCTCCCGTCCAACCCCCCCGAGTGATCGCCTCTCGAAGCCTCATCTTGTGGATCGGCATCCCCACGCCTCGTGCGGCTCCAGCGGGTGACCCGATGCAGCACGTTCGGTGCGACAAGGCCAGTGGCAGCTCAAAGTGGGTTCATGACAAGACATGACAAGACTAGTGACTGGCCGGTAGACGTTTCATTCCATATTTTTCCTTTTCCTTTTTCCTTTTGCTTCCTTCCAACTGGCATAGTGACCGTGCGTCCGTCGGAAGGTCACGCGTGAGGGCCCGGACCCACGGCGATCAAACGCTCCTTCACCGCCCGGACGCTGTGTGTCAGCTGCAGCGCCAGGCGGAGCGTGGAGACCTCGGATGAACGAGAGGAGCCGAGAGGAGCCGAAGTACAAGAAGAAGACAGAACAGGAGGGAAAGGCCCTTTTCATCGGAAGAATGAAGAGAATTGAACAAGAGATCTGGAAAGCGAGAGTATCTGCGAAAGTGTGACGCCAAAGATGTCATGATCTGAATCCCAAGGGGTTTCTTCGTCAAATAATTGAAAGTTTGTTCCAGGCCACTCCGATCTCAGGATCTGCCTTCACGTTGAAGACCACCTGACACAACAGGTGATTCCACGCGAGCTGAAGTTGACATTTGTGGACAACGAGACATTTAGTTTTTCCACGTGTAATGATCACCTCGAACTCTCATCCAAGCCTCGCGTAGGAACCGCGGGATCCCAGCTCCGACCGATCGGCCTCTTGCGCATCGGTGAAGCGTTGGAGCCACTCCGCTTCGGGCACCTCCACGGAAGCATCCGTCCGTGGGGTCATGTAAACGAGAAAGATGGGATATATAGGTTTCTTAAGGTTTCTTACATATATGTCATGTAAAGCGAGAAAGTCGTGATCTGCTTAAGACTACTTCTACTGAGGTGCCTGAGATGACACTATAGATGCTTCAAATTGGCCACTCGAACTTCCAAGTTGCTTCTCAAGATGAGGAGATCACGAAAAGGGACATCAAACAACTTTGACCATTCGGGATGGTGCTTGAGGCAACCTGGGTGCACACCCAAAACGAAAAAACACATCCATATCATGGTAGCTTGGCATGTCCAGTGAATCTCATCCCCATCCCCAGTGACAACTTCGATTTCGTTCATCCCTGGTCGTTCATCTCGAAACGAATTCCTGGACGGGTCATTCTTCGCGTCGTCGTGACGTCGCACGACTCTCCACACGGAGCATGCGAAAAGCACCGACTCCCAGCACCCGAAAAAACAGGTCACCACCTGCGACCGAAAAGAAAAACCTCCGGAGACCTGTTGGAAGGTGCTGCAGATGTAGCGATAGGGATCTCAAAAGGACTTTTCAATCATAGGGTCCCTGTTCTGGCGATCTTTCCTGGACACGCTCTTCTTCAAGCTGCTCTCTCCTATTCAACTTTGGGTCAGTTCCAAAAACCGCCAGCTTGATAATGATCAAAGCATTCAGCTTCGTTTCTCACCACACGTCCAGTCTCGAGAACCGCCACCCAAGCTGAGTCGTCCGGCCAAATCGATCACCGCCTTCCGAGGTCGGGCCAGAGCCAACAAGTACTCCTGTCAGCAGGCGGTTCAGGCGCGCGCAGCAGGTCCCGACCGGTCCCGCGGTGGATTCGAAGATGATGGGACACTGAAAACGAATGGGTTTCGTCTGATCTCTTCCCCGAAGTTTCACGACGGGAAAACCCCAAAAGGACACACATGTAGGACTACTCTTTTTTCTTCGGTTCACCTCTCTCCGGTCCTTGTAGGGATCCACTGCTCCGAAGCCCCGCTCATCCAAAGCGCCTTTCCTGCAGCTCAAGCTGCTCAAGCGCGAGTGCTGGGAGAGCTGGACTGGACCGAGGTTTTCGGGGTTTGGTTTCACATGGTTTCACTGCTAAACCATGCTATGGCCCAGCTACCATCTTCGTCCAAATCCGTCCATTGGACACCTCCAAGCGCAGCACAGGACGGTCCTTTTCAGGAATCACTTCCACGAGATCTCACACATTTTCAGGGAAAAACATCCAAAGAACAGCTTGGAATTCGGAAAGGGAGAGAGATCATTTCTGGTTACATCAGTCCCACCTGTCGTGGGTTTCGGCTGCCCGCCCACGTGCACGACTCACCGGGATGCTCCTGGCTTTCTCGCATGCGGCCACCAAGAAGCCTGCTTTAGAGCGAGCATTCCTGAGGATCGGAATACAGCAGGATACAGCAGAAAGCTCTGAGACTTCCTGAAGAATTTTGGGGTCGAAAGTCCAGATTGAACTCTTCTGAACATCTAAATTGCTTCTGAACCGCAGCACATTCATTAGGCGGAAGCCGATCCTCTGGTTTCGACCAAGTCACGTGAGGTAGACCTTGTTGCTCTCACAGTAGTTCAGCACCTGGGCGTTGGAATTCGGTCAACGGCGTCTTCTTGGAACCGAGCGGAACCTTCAGAGTTTGAGGAACCTGATGAACGTGTCTCCCATGAGATATCCGAACCGCAGTTTGGTTCAACTGATGAGGTCTGAGGCATTCATGCTCCAAAGTTCACATTCTCTTGACAACCTATATCCTCTACGGATAAATGATTCTCCTCCGGACCTGTTCAATGAACAAACATCCTGAAGACCTGTGAACTTTGACGGCTGATTGCAGGCGATCTGAAAGCAACTATATGTTGGAGCGGACAACTTGTGGAACGGCCCCAAGAACCAACGGAACGCTTGTTACTGGTAGCTTCTTGCTACTAGTAGCATTGAACTAGCTTCTTGCTACTAGTAGCGATGGCCTCCACCCTAGTAGCTTCTTGTTATGTTCTCTCAGTGGACATGTTGCCTCTTTCCTCCTCGCCCGATTTGGATCTCGGACCATTCCGCAGGGTTCCGCTGGTCTGGGGCCCGGCACTCGTTCCTGCAGGTCGGGCTTCAAACCCACCAGTGCCGTCATCGCCTGGCGGTGGGTGCTTGTGGGTAAAGTTGAGCGACACCCAAGCTGAGTTGAGGCTTTTAATAGAGCTGGGTCTGAGGAATAAGAGCAAGATACCATTCGACCTCCCCTTGCACGTCCGCTCTAGCCAAAGTTGGGACCTTTTTTGATCTCCAAAGCAATGCGGTACAAGGGTTTTCTTTGAAACCACCTTGACCAGGTTTCCTTCGATAGAGTGGCTCGTCGCAGCAACACAGGCGCATTCTGACAGGCATCAGTGCTGGCACACACCACGCTGCATCAAATGCAGCAGAAAATGCCACTCGGCACTCGGCCAAAGCAACTGTTCATTGAAGGCTCGATTTCAGAGATAGATCTCCCGTTTTAGTTGGCTTTGCTTGGACAGGTCCTGTATATAAATTCCTCTTTGAACTCGTCACATCATTGCTTCAGCTGCGTTTGACGTCCAAATTGCCGCAGGTAGTCCTCGTCGGCAAAGAGCTCCTCGCGGAGCTCCAACGAAGCGCCACCGTCGCGGCCGAGGCTGTCGCCGTCGCAGCGGAGGAAGACCAAGGCTTCGGCCAAGGTCTTCACGCCGACCTCGTCCAAGGCCTGGTCCGTTTGGGACGAGTCAGTGTTTGTTGGGCTTTTGGATGGGAAAAGCACAGCATGCAGATAAGCACACTTGCATTCTGCTTGGCTGTCGCTGCCATTCACCAAGAAAGCAAACTAAGAATGATATCAAATCTATACCCTAGAAGTCCAGTTCGACGATATTTTGACTGGCTGAAGTGTTCAGGAAGTTCCCTTTTCATCAGGTCCCCTGCCCTCGTCAGACCATTCTTTTTTTTCGTCTGACCGACTCCCAGGGTAAGGCGTCCATCGGTCGTCACAGGCTCCTTGGGATAGAAATAGGATTCCACTTCGCTGGCCACGGGTAGAAACTCCTCGGCCTCTCGCTCGTTCCCCGCGGCCACCCGGAGGCGGAGGCTGAGAGCCGCCCTGTCCGTCAAGTACCTCGAGCAGGTGGCCAAATGGATGCTGGGCCAAAAGGCTTGAGAAGTGTCTTGAGGTTTCAACTGAAACAAAGACTGCTTCCCCCAAATTTCAATTTGTTCAAGTATACAATTCGTTAAAAAAAACTTCCGAATCTGCAACATCTTGTGCTTGGACTTTCCATGGGATCGTTCGCACCATCGCTTGTCTGAGTCCATCGTCCTTCCTGGAAACTGAAAGCGAGCAGAGCAACAGGTGCTAACCAAAAAACTCCTCCTCCGATGCATTGAGGAGAGATCTCTTGCGACATCCTTTTGGTATTTGGTATGATTAGAGTTCTCCACAAACAATTCCTTCTACAAAAACAAGATGAAAACAAATCGTTACCTCACTCTCCTGGCACTTTCTTACTCTTCGACCCGACAAAAACTGGCATACTCTGCAACTGCTGGCCTCTGCAAACGGCGAGGCATCTCTTCCGCGTTCGGGGCATAAGTGACCATGAGCAGCCATCCACCTTGAGTAAAAATGGGTTGGCCCTGCCCCAGTGGATGGCTATGGTGAATGGTGGACAACGACGACAGCGGGTGGGCAGCACGTCCTTGACTTCCAAAACCTTTTGATCGTCAAAGAGAGCAACCACTCTGTTGCCCGCAGAGCTTTTCCCATCCACTCTTTGCACCGAAACAAGAGACCCAGAGCTATGCAAGAAACAAGAAGAGGAAGAAGAAGAAGCAAAAGAAGAATAATAATAATAGCAATAACAAGAATCACATGTTCCGAAGACAAATCACGCATTCCCTTCCACACCACTCTCCGCACCACAAACACCTTCCCCTTGACCCTTGGAGCCTGGGACCAGATGCTCCGGAGCCTTCGCCACGATCTTCCGCAGCACGTCTTCCCCGAAGGCGCCGCCGTTGCCGTAGAGCGCCACGGCTTGGGAGGCGATGTTGTCCGGGTTCGGCAAGAAGGGCGGATTTGCCAAGATGCCGTCCTCGGTCCGGAGAAGGGGTATACCTGAAGTATAGTGGTTTTAGGAGATACTTAAACTATAGTGGAAAAAACTGAGCATGAACGGAGTGTGCAACAAAAGACCAAGTCGAAAATACATGACCAACCAGCAAGGTGCTGTGAAAATGACCAATACCCACAAGGAAGACGGACGCTGATTTTACTGTGTGCTTCGCAGCAAGGGCGGGAACGATGTCCAAAGAAAACAACTTCAGAATCACATGGTCAGCATCAATGATTGACAACATTGGCGCAGCATGCTGACAACATCACCTGCTTGCGCATCAGTGGTCCAAGCAACCAACAAAAGCTACAAGAAAGAGCTTACGAGGTGATCTCTTCTTGACACCCACATTCAAGCAAAATATACGCCAAGAATCAAACTTGTCACCTTCCACTTGGGCGTAAGCATCTCCCAGACAACACCTGAACTGCCCCAAACAGCTGTTGTGTGTGGCAAAAAGCACTGGCAACCCCAGTATGAACAGTTTTTACACACTGCCCGTGAATCTTGCAAGCGACTTCTAGAGACACCGGGTCCTCATGATTCCCCTACCATGGCCCCTATCTACCAGTGGCGATGCCACGTGTAACTGTCACTCGCCTGTACTGCTTGGAGCTCAAAGCGTTCAAGGCCAGGTTGAAGCGCACGAAGCGCAGCGCCCGCGGATTGACGTCGCTGAAGGTCACCGAGGACGCGCCACGCTGCAGCGCAGCGATGCCCTGAACGCCGCTGCCGCAACCTGCCAGGAGACTGAAGGAAACATAGGTGGAAAGATGAATCAAGAAGCATTCCTTAGGAGTCAACATATATGAGATTGGGCCAACAAAGCAGATTGAACGAAAGCAACTCAATTTCAACTGAATTCAGTCTGAACGAGGCACCTTCACAGCACGACCTGACTGTGTGATTCGAACACCCCAAGACGGGACCGAGGAGCAAAGGTCCAAGAGGTTCTTTTCTTTGACCTCGGGCTTCGCGGCCAAGAGCGCCAAGGAATCATCCGACAAATACCTGGGCGGTCCCGGCTCGGGCTCCGACACGTCCCCCACTAATCCCGGGTCCGACACATCTGCACCCCACCCAGTGACATGGTGAATTGTTGAGTGAACAGGCTTTAAACAAATACCTGCACAATGAGTGATCTCTCTCTCTCTATAAACAACAATATTTTTGCATGTTCAGCTCCTTTCACCTCCAACATCCTCACCTCCCTGCCACAGCTGGCAGCTCCAAGCGCACCGAGTCGCATCACCGGCTCAAAGCCCACCGACGGGTCCGGCCAAGTCTGGGCATCGGTGGCCACTAGCAGATCATCTCTAGGCCAAAGGCGGAGGTTGCTGAAGCACCTCGTGGGACCCGTCCGATCGCCGGTGATCCGTCTTGGCCTCGTCTTGGTCTAATTGGTCTAGTTTTAGATATTTTCGTCCCTTGACGTGGGCTGAATCTTTCGAGTTGGGGGGGGCCGGGGCCGAAAAGAAAAAACCATCCGACAAAGCGGTCTGGGCTTGCTGTCGCCCACCTGATGCCCGAAGCATCGCTACTGACTGCGGCAACCGCATCATCGATGCTCAGCAGGTGGTAGGGATCACGGATGCCTGAGAGTAGACTTGGGGGACATTGATGGGGAAAGTTGGCAAAAGGCATGAAGCTTTCGTTTGAAACGATAAAAGGACAAATAGATTTAGGTTTCCTCATCTATTTCCTCCTCATCACCGATCTCTGCCTACCATTGCAGTGAAGGATGAGTCAATGAGCACAATTTTTGTTGAGTGCTCAGCATTCTGAATGATAACCCAACGTGATTCTCAATGGCAACATAGAAGGATAACCGTGAGCCGTAAGCTCCCAGCCCAGATCTGAAAAATACGGTGCTTCAACCCCGAACCGAAGCTTCCTTCAGAAACCACTACGTCACATTGATGGGCTTCCTTCATACTCTTTGCAAACACTAAGAGAGAAAAGACCTTGCTTAGGCAAGGATGAATCAACACGTAACTCTAGCACACCACATAACTAGACTAGCACACACACACACACACAACTGGTGTTTTTTTGGCCCAAACTATGCCAAGATACACGAGACCACTTGCAACTCTAGCAGTAGCTTGCAGCATTCCTCACCGAGCAACTCACACAGCGTCTCCAAAGGCTCTTGCCTTCGCAGGAGGAAGACTTGGATAAAGTACACCTCGACGAAGGAGAAACTGAGCCCAAGGTGAAACGCCACAAGAGTTCCGAGAAACTCACCAACAAGAACCACAGAACCACAAATCCCACCAAACTGCTCAACGAGAACCACAACAAAGCAAAACAAAGCGCATCCAAACAAAAACAGATGAGCTCAAAAGAACAACAACCAAAAACACATCACCACCGATGAGTGCTCCTTCAGCTCCGGTCCAGCTCCCGATCCGAGGCACCAATCCTCGATCCTCTTCTTCCGCGCTCTGCTGCCGCTCCCAGCAGCGCTGTGCGAAGCCCGGCAGCTGGGCGTCGTCGCTGAAGTCGATCAAGGACGTGGCGCCGGTGCAGCGCAGCACGGTGGCGGGGTCGTACCTAGGAGGGCAGTAGAGGGACGATGGAAGATGAAAGAAATCCAACAAGAACAGTTGAAGATGGTTGTTGCAGATATGATGACACATGTTCTATCACGAAATATCCTTTGATAGCAACGAGGAGGAGACTTTGAAGAGGTGGCATGCAAATTTTGACCTGTCATGAACATCAAGACACAACAAACGTCAACAAACCCCAAACACCCAACGCTCCAATCCAAAACACCCAACTGGAACAAGCTTCGAAAAACGAATTCGGGGCTCCTGGCCATGTGCTACGAACGGAGCGATCGGACGCGTTGCAAGGCACTGGCACTCTCTCATCCTCCTGCCGAAGTCTTCCAGCAAACGGGCCTCCTCCGCTCCGATCTCTCCAGTCATCGAGGGTCTTCGCTTCAAGGACTCGCACCTAACAGCAAACATGGCAGAGGCCATGGCTCTTTTATTTTGGAGGCCATTGCGAGTAGAAACAAAGAAAAAACAAAGAGTTTGCTATTAGGTTGGAGCACATGAAACAGTTCGTCAGCAGCTCCTCCGCGATGAAACGCTCTTGTCCCTCCAGGAGCGGATGGGCGCGTTGGAGCAACTCTTCTGCCTGCGACACCTGGGGCTGAACTCGTTAAACGTCAAAAACACCCGGATCAAAGGCCAACACAAACAGAACTTGAACTTGCCGGGTCTGGATTTGTGCTCTTTAAGCTTCTTCTCCCTGTACTCTCCATGGTCCAAACCCCACCATGTCAGGAGTCTCCTTCACCACTCCGACATGACAATGGATGACCCGACCAGGTAAGCACCTGGAAGAGTCGCAAGTGGAGCTCCGACCGCCGCAGCTGCGCAGCCGTCGCAGCACGCGGCTCCAGACTCGGTGCGGTCGAGAAGCCGCGGCGGTCGAGGTGGGCTTCTCTTTCAAAAGAAAGCAACGAGCAGCACGGGGTTTCAATGGGGAAAATGGAGGATTCGGCCTTAAAAGCAGTCACACTGGGGATGAGGCTTTTTGGACAGATCTTCTAGTTCTGGCCTTAGAGGCTGAATGACTTGCCATCATGCTGCCAACCGGCGACCAGCCGGGTGTGAGGCTGCGCCGTTCACTGCCGAGGGGCGACGTCTCGCAGCTCAGTCGCGCGAGCTCGGCTTCGATGAGGGCTTTGGTCACCTCCGGCTGTCGGATCGGGAGCGAGACGCGAGACACAAGAAGCCATCAAATAAGGTGCTTTCTTTTCATCGAACAGGAAACTCGATCGGGTGCTCACAGCGTCTTTGATTTTTGGGGGACACTTCTGAGAACTGCATTGAGAGGTGCCTGTTTGCGGTCCAATGGAGAATGTTGGGGAAGAGCCGCGTGCTTGGCAACACATTCTTCAAAGAAAGGCGAGAACGGCAGACCTTGCAAAAGGACTATACCCGCACTGGTTAGGGGGGGTGGTCTCCCTGGTTAAAAACACCCACACCCACATGGAGAGAGCACTCCTCCACGCCCCTCCTGCGCGCCTCGCCGTGCGCCGCCACGAGGGGATGTGCACAGGGCTGCGGGATCCACGTCTCAGCCGGGTCGCCGTAGGGACACTCCTGGAGCGGAGAGACGTCGTGGTCTCGTCTACCAAGGTCATCCTGTCTGGGTGTCCAGACTACCCTACTTGCAGGCCTTCGGCACCCATTGGAAGTGCTAGGTATACCAAGTCGGTTTTTGTTTCTTTTTCCAGTCTTCGACACGCCGGTTGGAGGGTGTCACTCGAGAGTCTATGGACGAGTCTGGTGTTGACAATTTGACGCGTCCAACATCCCCACCAAATAATCTCGTGACATCTCGTGAAAGTCAGACTCCTACTTGTGACTCTTTTCTTGTCAGTTCGATCACCCAAAATCACGATCAAAACTCAGAGAGAGTCGTCGCTCTCTTTTCCATGTAAAGTTCCACTTCACGCCACGGTGTCCTTCAAGGCCTCTCGGATCCTCTTCTCATCCTCAGTCAGCTGCTCTTTCAGCCGCTGAGACTCGTCATCACCGCTGTCGAACTCGAGCCACTGCTGTTGGAGCTTTCGCAAGGCCTCTGCGGACCTACATCGGACTCGATGGAAACCGCAGGACTCCCAAACCTGTTGATGAACGTCCTGGATGCCAATATTAGGCTTTGACAAAGGAGTCCTGAACTTTTATACAAAGGAGCTCTTCCTTCTGTAAGGGAGATTCCGAATTCTGGTTGTGAAACATGGTTGATTACACGTTGCAAACCATGATGCGGACTTAGATTTAGAATTTGTCCGTTCTGTCATGCTCACCCAGTTTCTCAGATAGCAACCTTTTCCACTGCAGTGATTGGAAAATCAAGACCCTTCATCAGAACTTCTCAGCAACATCACCCAAACCCAGCATAGCTTTGGAACCCAAATGGAAAAACATATACATCCAGTGTCATATTGTGTGACATCCACATTCATTCTCCACCACACCGGCGCCTTTCCAAAGCTTCCTTCGCATCCGCCGCCCTCGCCCTCCGCGCCACGCGCGCTGCCGCAGCGGTGGCCACCGCCGCCACGGGCGACCGCGCCGGCGGTGGCTGTTCGGGCGACCGCGCGGTGGACGGATGCAGCGGATGGAGCGGATACGGTGGAAAAGCAGCAGCGTTTGGATGACATGGGAGGAGCATTGGAGAAAATGGAGGTCGGAATGTCTGAGATCTTGAAATTTATCAACCAGCCAGTTGCAGATTTGCTGCTTGTACGGTTTACCCTGGTGAAACACAGTGGCTGATGGCACCTTTTCCAACTGAAGCATCTTTACGCGAGCTTGCATGAGTTCATGTGCCACGGCATTGGTACATCAGTTTCTTTTGCAAGCGTACTGCGCATACTACATACCACTTGCAACGCTGCTAGTTTCGTGGAACGCGTGGTCAATTGAATTTGTTTGATTCTGAGTGGGATAGGTGTACTGGGCTTTGGGATGCCTAGAGTGGAGGGATGAGACTCACAACAAGGTCGTGCATGGGAAACTGTTGGATTGTCTTGGAAATCTCACATCACAGTAATCAAAAGTAGCTCCGTCCCACTTCCACGGTGTTCTCCAAGGTGTCTCATGGTGTGACTATGGCTGTAAGCAGCTCAGTGAAGCCAACAGTCTCCAGAGTCTTCGAAAGACTTCGTCCTTAAACCCGTGTTCTGCAGCCCTTAGAAGGCTTAGGCACATGAAAGACCAGGCATGAGCCTCGTAAAGGTGGAGAAACATCAACGGTAGACTCCAACAACATGTCTTCGTTTCGGTCTTGCAAAGAGGAACTTCGCACCTCGGCGTTTGGTCTTTTGCAAATAACAAATGGAACATGCTTCTTGTGCACAGGGAATTGGTCCTTCACTTGCCCGAAGGTTGCCACTCTGGGAGATGGGGCTTGAGTGACTTCACGATAATATCCAAACAGTCACCTCACCAAACAAGAGTCATTCATGAATTGAAAAAAAAATGGAAACACTGCATCTGCAAACGAAATGTGCAGGTTGTCATATGCTACCTCAGGAATGCATTTACCCCACGGTGGTTGAACAACAGTGAAAAGAGCAAGGTCGAAACTGGCTGTTCTTGGACATGTTTTTTCCGTTGCCCTTGCAATCTTGGAGACAACTGGAGCCCTGTGTGAGAGCAAACAGCCCCAGCTACAGCGTTCAAAACACTTGTTGTGAAGAGGGGAAAACGCTCTGTTCTTGCTATAAAGGTACGCCCGCAGTTGAACAACATAGAGCCCATGAACCCGAATGCACACATGTACACGAAAACAAACGGCAGAACATTGTTTGACAGTCTTGTGGGACACTCCTGTGGGACACTCTTGCGGCGCAGTCTTGTGAGCCAGTCTTGTGAGCCAACCCGGTGGTCTCCACAAGTCACGCGTTTCGTACAAGACTTCCTCCAATAGTGAAGCGGGAAGTCTCATCCCCTGCCAAGCAGTTTTGCATTCCCAGCCCTTCAAAGCACAGCCTCTGCGACACCTCCACCAAACGTCGGAACCTCACGCTCCTCTGCGACTGCCGAGAAATGAAAAGTTAACCTACCAACCCTGGGTCTGGGCCTCAGGTTCTTTTTTGTATTTTCCGGGTGGTCGATGGGACACAGCCTGACATGGAGGTTATTTACTTCAAGGTTTTTGCCCGCAGCCTGAGATTAAAACATACCAAGCCCCTGTGCCGGGTCCCCATTCCCTTTTTTCGCGTTCGGGGTGGTCAGTAGGACTGGGATGTAGGCGGAGCAGTCATGATGCTGAAGTGCTGGCTGACACTGTGAACTGCCACTTAATCGTTGAAGAGCTCCAAACAGACGGTCGAAGCTCAAATGATCACGCAAGCGCATTGCGCTGCAGCTGACGAAAAACGGTATAAAAATACGGCTCATAACCTCCAACACCAAGAAGGAACATACAGCGCAGTGAAGTTCCAAAACAACATCTGAACATATTTGACTAGTGGAGCACCTTTTGTCACATTAGCCGAGCACAAGCCCACATCACCCACCAACACGACTCACGGCAACATCATGCTGCTCTCTCCCATACCTGGCAAACGCGTCTCAGTGCGCTCTCGCCCGATCGTTGTTTACAAAAGCGATGTGCGCGGCGCCGCGCCACACCCACGCTTGGAAGGAATTCGACGCTTTCGGAGCAAAGCCGCATGTTTTGAGTTGAGACTTGTCTGGAGAACACAGCTTCCAGCCGAAGGCCCGAAAAGCGAATCCCAGTGGCACAGCGACATTCAACACCTCCAAAGACCCACCCTGCGAACGCCAATCCCGAGGGCACAGCGAAGGCAACTGTGGATCTCACAAAACGCTGCACCTGCGCAGCAAAATCAACCTAAACACTTAGACATGCCACGTTTCCGCTCTATCTCACGAATCTGACACTGCAGTCTTCCAGCCAAAACCTCCTCCAAAAGCTTCCCCCAACGGCAGGGCCTTATCGATCATATTCAAAGACTTGCGGACGATTGCGAACAACGCTCGGCTCTACCCCTCAGACTCCCAACGTCGAGCGAGAACCCTTCGCTACCCAATCCGGTAAAAACCGCCACCCCTCCAAAAAATGCGAGAAAATTCCAATTTCTCTCTTCAAAACAGGGCACCAGGCGCTTCACCGATCGTTTGCTGTTTGGAGCTCACGCCGCGGCCGGTCCTTTCGACCACCTCGCGGCGACTCGTGGAGTTCTCCCGTCGCCTGGAGATCGAAGTCGCCGTCCTTCACCAGTCCCTCTCGCTGCATCTGCTGCAGTCGTACACGGATCTCTTCCTCAAGTGTCAAGCATAAGCATCGGTTGTTCCGGTCCAATCCCGGTTCACCCAAAGAAGCCAAGACTTCAGACTTAGGGTCTGCCAAAGCATGGACTTCGGGGTGTTGCGCAACTGAGTTATATATAGTCTGAATGAGTGGAAGTTACAGGATTGATTCTTCAAATCGCAAGCAAGTTTCCAATGGCCTAGGAAACATCCCTCGTAGATAGACCCTTCTTTGCGATGGCTTTAGACAAACAGGCTCCTAGTAACAAGTGGCACGCTAGTAGTAACAGTAAATAAATTTAACTTACTAGTAGTAAGGCACTTGTTACTAATAGCTTCTTGTTACTACTAGTAAGGCACTTGTTACTACTAGCGTGGCACTTGTTACTACTAGGCTCCCCAAATCAGAAAGTCTGTTGGGACGGACAGGGCCCACATCCCTTCGTTGCAGACCCAGACGCCGACAGCGCAGAAGCCACGAGCTTGGCCTGACGCAGTGTCACGCAGGTTCCGGTGGCCGTCCTTTTCGTTGGAAGACACGTCGATAGCACGGGATAGCATCGTTTTTCCCTGGAAGATCGTATCGTTGGAGGATCGGATCTTCTAATTGGAAAGCCAAGTTTGTCTTGCATTTTGGCATTGGGATCGCCATCCCAAGACACCCCGAAATAGGTGGATGATGGGTAGGACGCCTTTTTGGCACCCGCTTGTCGGATTCCATGGAAAATAACATAGATTACGATCCCACATGATGCCGGTAATTGACCGAGTTTCACCATTTGTGAAGCAAATCAGGTGGCCTGTGTATCTGCTCAACAACCTTCCCACCGGTGAATTGAATCCGACCAGCAACCCGAAGCCAGAAGGCAACTGCTTTCTGACCATGTTGTTTTCCTATGTTGAATACCAAGTCGATCAATTCCACACATGGATGAAACTGCAAGGTCTTCCCCCACAACCCACAAATCAGAACACGAGGCCCTGTTCCATCTTGGCCTGTTCCTGCAAGGCGGCCTCCTGCAGAACATCCAACTTCGTGTGTTGCAAAATCGACGGAGAGAGGTTCAAGAGACTCCAGGAGACACATGGAACTATGATGAACGATGGAAAAACACCAACACGTGGTCGTTCAACATTGGCAGGGAGAGCAGTTACCTTTTTGAACGTGTGTGATGGACGCGCCATAACGCGCCTCTCTTCAAGGTAATTGACCTCAAGAATCCTTAGTCAGAGAGTTGCATGCCCTTACATGGGCCATATTCCAGATGTTTATCTATGTTTTTCTTGAAACTGAATAAGAGATTTTTGGCATCAGGATCGAGATTTGCTTTGTGTCGGTGGCTGATCCCGCAGACATTTGCCAGAAAAGGGGCACTATAATACACAAATACGACTTGGGACTTCATCAGGTACAGTGGCAAAGCTCCAAAACTTTTTCCTACCACTGTCAACGCAGAAAAGCAAAACTGACCTGAAGGATTTGCCTTGAGGGTCATCCACCTGACCTGAAAGCTCTCATTAGAGCCAGCGTTGCCCAAATACAACAGCATAGCAGTACATTGGCTCATGCTCCACTCCCTCTCCCACACCTGTTAACAAAAAACATCCTCCGACTCGTTTGACCTACTCGCTTTGACCGACCCACCGCATGTTCTCGGTCCGCTGGTGCTCGGTCCTCGAGCTCCACTCGGGTCTCAGAGCGAAGGATGTCGGAGGACATCGCACCGCTTCTCGTTGGAACGGATTTTTCTGAATCCGATGTCGGAAGGATGTCGGAATCCAGTGGGAAAATCATGGCTTCCGGAGTTCGGGTTGGTGGGGATCCCAGAAGCGATGCATGAACCCATATCCAAACATCATGTCGACCTCTAAATTACAAAAGAGGGTGTCACAAAAAGAGTCCGATCTAAATAAACAGACCCCCCCCAATTCCAAGAAAGGATGTGTCATCTGGTTTGGGTCATCCATGGTAGAAAGTCTGGAATTTTCACCACTGAAAATCAACTTCTGCAAGTGCGATGACCTCCCAAGAATCTGTGACTTGCAAAACAACAGTCAGCATATTCATATCCAAGCCGACAGTTGCGCCCTTTGCTCCACAAGCCTTCCCAACTGAGGCTCCCCTCACGAGGAGATCGGCTACGATCCATCGCGACGGCAGCCTCGACCCGTGCGGAGGCGGCAGGCCACGAGACCCGACGGGAGGCGGGTGAACGACAGTGGCCGCTTCGGTGTGGCGGGCCGGGTAGTAGCCTGCCCTTCGCCTTTTGGTTTGGCTTTGGCATCGAAAGAGGGCCAGGCACCGTGGGTGACGAAGGATGTGTGACGAAACGGTCTGGTTTGGAAGGATCTGGTTTTGCGTGGCTTCAGTGAGGAAGTCTGCGTTTCGTC